CCGTGCCCTTCGTAGAGACGCCCGTGCCCTTCTTGTCCTTCTTGGAGACGCCCGTGCCCTTCTTGTCCTTCTTGGAGACGCCCGTGCCCTTCTTCTTGGACACGCCTGTGCCCTTCTTCTTGGAGACGCCCGTGCCCTTCTTCTTGGTGATGCCCGTGCCCTCGTCCATGGAGGTGTTGGTGCCGTCGGTCGCCTCCTCCTTGCCCTTTCCGCGGGCTGTTGCCGCCTCATCATCGGTTTCCTTCACCAACGCCACGAGGCTCGCCACACGCTCATTGCTTGCAGCGGCTGTGGCCTTAGCCTTGGGCTTGGCCGTCTTGGCTTTTGCCTTGGGCTTGGCCGTCTTTGCCTTGGCTTTCGCCTTGCCAGACTTGCCTCTTCCCTTGGGCTTGCGCGGAACTCGGCTCCTCCGATTCTCGAACTGCTCAAGACGACTGACAACCGGCAACTCCTCGTCCCACTGCTCTTCGGCCTGCAGGGCAAGCTCGACGTCGCATGGGCCTGTGAGGTCAAGGGCTTCCACTTTCGTAGTTGGCCCATCAATCTCAACGCAGCTAGTCTCACCGTCTCCGCCCCCATCACTGCGCAAGCCCGCACGCGCCATCACGCTGACCGCATCCTCAGCAGCCGCGCCGAACAGCTCCTGGCCGTAGCACGCAGCATCGACAGCCAGGATCTTGGGCTTCTGCTCATCCACGGGGTCCTCTCCCTGCGAGTCGTCCTTCGTGGTCTCGCCCTTGCTCTCTTCAGCGTCGCCCAGAGGCGCCTCGGAGTCCCCTCCGAGGAGCTCTTTGTCCTTTTGCTTCGTGGCCTCGCCCTTGCTCTCTTCAGCATCGCCCAGCTGCTTGTAGATGTCACCCAGGGCCTTGAAGTCCCCACTGAGGAGCTCGTCGTCCTTCTGCTCATCCACGGGCACGTCCTTCGTGGCCTCGCCCTTGCTCTCTTCAGCGTCGCCCAGCTGCTTGTAGATGTCACCCAGCGCCTTGAAGTCCCCACTGAGGAGCTCGTCGTCCTTCTGCTCATCCACGGGCACGTCCTTCGTGGCCTCGCCCTTGCTCTCTTCAGCGCCGCCCAGCTTGTAGATGTCATCCAGGGTCAAAGGCGCCTCGGAGTGCCCCCTGAAGAGCTCTTCGTCCTTCTGCTCATCCACGGGCACGCCGTCCTCGCCCTTGCTCTCTTCGGCGTCGCCCAGCTTGTAGATGTCGTCCAGGGCCAAAGTTTGCTCGGAGTCCCCCCGCCGGAGCAGCTCATCGTCCATGCGCCCAGCAAGCGCAACCTTAACTTCGCAGAGCTTTGGCGGTGTCTCCAAGCAGGCCTTGTTGGGAAGTGGCGAGGGTGTGTCCCCAAGAGTCCATGGGACTGTCTCCATATTGTCTGTGCAAAGGCCCGAAGTTGGCGGCGCAGGTTGCGCCAGCTGCTTCCTGATGTGGGACACGAAAAACCAATCAACACTTTTGGTATGTAGGTCGTGTCTATGCTAAACTATAGACGAGACGCCTAAGCAGCTCCATTCGCCGCTCAACATCCGCAAGCGTCATCCCGTCGATCATGGGCTCGGCGAGCTGAGCGGAAGCATCGTGTGTCGGCGGGTCTACCGTAAGGTCGTGGACCTTGGCCTGCTCGGGCTCCACAGCCTGCACGGCCACCGCGTCTTGCACGCACTTGACGGGCTCCACAGCCTGCACCTCGTCATCCAAGCCGTCCAAGCCAGCCAAAGCACTCGCCAAGGACTTCGCCTCCATGTCCCGGTCTTCGTCATCCTCTATCATCACCGGGGCGTCTTTGCGGTTTAGCCGCACTCCCCAATGAGCAAATAAGGTTTGGTAAAATTGGCTGACCCCTTCTTCCTTACAGCGCAAAAGCCCCTGACAAGGACCAAAATGCATGCATTAAGCTGCTACCTCCAACAAAGGTTGCCAACTCCGAACAAGGCACCCGACGTTTCGGGGCTGAGACCAAGTCTTTGGATCCGGCCTTTCTGAGGCTGTAAGAGAAAAGTTTCTTGAGGCCCCAAGCATCGCAGTGGAGCTTCACAGCGTCCGGAGGTAGCTCCATGTAACTACGGAGGGCTTTCACCTAGACCAGGGATCCGTTGCAACATGGGCCACTTCAGAAACTGTTTTTTGGGCGGTTTCCTTGTTATCTGTTTCCCCCGCCTGTTTTTTGAGGAACTGCACCGAGGGGGGCTTAATCTTGTCGTTGCCCTTGCAATGAAAGTTGGCCAGGACAACCAGGGGTCGCCAGTTCTGCCCGACAGCAGTCAAGCAAGGAACCCCGACAAGTTCAGGCTTCGGCCACGTGAGTAGGCACTTCTCACTTCTCAGCCTCTCCCGGATGCCACTGTCGGCCTCCCAAAGCCGAAACAGCTGACCCGCTCCATCTTTCCCAGCTGCAATGGCAGCCATTCGATGGATTCGAACACTTATTTGCACATCCAAGCTTGGGCCGGTCTGGGTGCATTCAAAGGTTTGGATGAATGGATCATGCTTCTGATGTGCGGCATGCGTGGCAGGTGTTGAGCAGATCAACAACTGGCCAGCCTCAAGCAGCATCGGATCTATCAGGCGGGAGCGCCTGCATAGGCGGCGCACAAATGTGCGGACGTGTAGGATGTAACTTGTGAAAAATGGCTTTGATGCGGCATTCCTTAAATCAGGGGTTCTTGTAATCACATATTGTTAGTGAGCTCGGGGGTTCATGTGGAGGAATGTCAAACTTTCGCACCAGCGCCAAAGCCACAGCATCTTTTCCTACTGTCGTCCATGACCGGGTCAGAGCAATCCCTGCTGCAGGTGGCAGCGTGAGGGCCGCTTCAGATCTTGCCTAGCGCGGGAAAAGGTGAAGCAAGTGGTTTGAGCTTGGGCCTGGTCTCAGAGGTTATACAGCTACATTGAAGGCTTTGCCCGCAAGGGAAATTGAGGCCCTGGCTGTCACAAGGACCACTGTCGCTCAGGTAAAGGTGCAGCGTTTTGATCAGCCCTTGATTTCGATGGTTTGTGGCAATATCCCTGATCTGCTCGTTGTTCAGGGCAGGGCCTCCATCCTGCATACAAAGCATGGGCCAAATTGTTATATGAGTCACTTGCCTGCCCTGCGCAGTCCTTTGAAGTCACATGACCAAAAAGCAACCGTTGGGAGGTCTCCCAGAAGGACCCTGGCATATGAAGTAGGCCTGGCAGGGCAACCAACACAAAGATCCGATCGATGTTACCGGTTGAGCCTTCAGCCTTCACTATATTCAGCACGTCATGGCTGCAATTCGAAAAGTCCATTTTCTGCGGGCTAAAAACAACCTTCGAGAAGAGCGGCTCCAGGTAGCAGGCGAGGGTGCATGCATGTTTTGCACCTCAACTGCTGCGATTGGCACGGGAGGGCGCGCCTCCAATGCGGGATGTGCACAGGTCGGCTTATGCCACACTAAGAGGCACGCTTTCCGTGCCCAAATGCTGCCAGAGCGGGCAAATTGCAATTTCCGCCCCGGGCCTAAAAAACCGCCCCGCCAAGAAAGAACCTGTTTCTTTGCTAAGGGGCAAAAAAAAAGCACACTAGGGAAGATGCAGGTAAGATATCTTAAACACCCTAGACCCACCGAAAACAACCCAATTCAGCCCTAATCCTATTCTAAGCACATGTTTGCAGCATACTTGGTCCGCAGTTGCGTCAGGCTGAGCTTGCGACTCATGTAAACGAACTTCCCAACTGTCCATTCGGGGTAAAGCGAGCTTCAAAGATGCCTGAACATTCGGATAATGTAGTGCCGATCCCATGAACGGGGAACAACAGTAACAAATCCCTGTCCTGGCACCCAACGAGCAGCGCAAATTCGCGAGGGAAAACAGCTCTTGGCCGGCTCAGAACCAAGCTCACTGAATAAGAAATGGAGCACATTACTCATCGGTTTAAAAGAGTGTAGTTTCCCTTTGCCTTTGATAGAACATAGGGACCAGTGACTTCCCATCCATCCACTTGTTTACATTGGCTTGCAATTTGAGCCTCGGGCCAGTGGAGGATCTGGGAAAAGACACATCACACTCTTTCCAACAATCTTGGAAGTGCACAGGAGCAGTGTGGAAGACTGCCATCACCTGCAAGTGGCCTTTTGTCCACTTCCATGACTGTTGGAAAGAGGGTACCCATTAGCTGTTTGGCTTCTTTTCATGGTAGATTCAACCTCACAGCTGCGATTTTGGGCACCCTTGCGCTGAGTCACAATCAAAACCCGAGTAAGTGAAGGGTAGTAAGGGAAAGATCCAGCCGGAAACAGTTGCGGCCGCCTTTCTAATTATTTTCATGGTTCTGGGTAGACCAGAAATGATACCGGATTTTGATTGTGACTCAACTGTTCTTTCCTGGGCATGCCATGTGAGTCTCCATGGGCAACTCCCATGCTCCTCATTTTCCGAGACTGAAGAGTCGCATCAAAGCCCCAGAGCTCCGACAGTCTCGCAGGAAGCCCATTTGTGGCGTGTATTTTGCGCGGCTTCCGACGGAGGCTTCCTGAATTTGTGTGCTTCTGCTGGCGGTTTCTTTCCAACACCTGTTTGGGCAGGCACAAATAGAGCGAGTTTTGAGGTGTCCATCGGGTTTCTTGCGAGCCCTTTCGGTTGCATGTTGGCCCGTCTTGCCAGGGGTCTGAACGGGATCCTGGATATATATATATATATATATGTATATATATATATATATCTAGAGGGAGCCTTCTGCGATTTGGATCAATCCTTCCGAGCCACTAGGCTCCTTGGTCCTGAGAGTCATAAATCTCTTCCAGTCACCCGACAAGAAGGGAAACATGTTCCATTGGTACCAGCCCAGCTTCGAGCGGGGGCGTCATGGTTGTTCTTGGAAAACATCTTCTTTTTTTTGCTTATTGTGGTTTGGTGGTTGAAATCCAGCTACTTAACTGCTAAGAATTAAATTGTTGCCCCCCTTCCAAGGTCAACCAAGGTGTTTCCATTTCACCGCTTCTTGGACTGAGAATCGCCAAAATGGGGACGGTCGAGGTGGGCTCTTTGTTCTGCTCCCTCGAGGGCGCGCGCCGCAGCGCCGGCCCGTTTAGGGGCGAGGCGGGCGACCACATATGTTGAAATCCAGCCAGACATTCTTAAGAGATGATCCGTTGTTTGGCGGACTGGCTTCTTCAAAAAGCAATCCTTAGTTCTTATGCTAGATGGTAGTGGTAGTCGTTGCACTTTGTTGCAGCGGTATCCCCCCCGCTTTGAACAACCCGCACAGCTGCGCGGGCATGCTTATCTTGGTTTCTGATCCAGGCGCTCACAGCAAGGCCGAGTCTGGTATGTTTGCTGTCCACTTTTTGGTTTTCACGTACGCGTGTTTTTCAGAGGATATGCTTTTGTGCCATGAAGACTTAGGGAGTTGATCCGGTTGATCGGCTTTGTCAGTGTGCCACGGGGGGAGACCAACATCCCTGCAGGTCGGACCCTTACACAACGCTGGGCTTCGTCTTGATGGTGCTCAGCAGGGAATGACCCCTATAAACCATCCAACTGATGGTTTATTAAGGGGATCCCCAGGTTCATTTTCAAATTCCCTACCTATCGCACCAGCAAGTCGTCGAGCGCCGGATAAATCTGCTTCAGAATTGCCATCGCCTTGGGTGAGCCCTCGCGACTCGCCAGGCTTTGATTGCCGCTACTTCGTGCCAGCTTCCTCTACAGTAGGCGCCGGGGGAAGACCGAAAGGAAGCCGATCGACTTGGGCTGATCCGAGATAAAGCTCGCCAGAGCAAAGGCCACTACAGTAAGAGTCTATCATAACCGTCATGGGCTTGCGGGGTACGTTGAAGCCAAACGAAGTCATGATCATACGGGAAGAATGGGGACCCTGGAAAAGGCGGCATGGGTTCCACCTGAAAGACGCCAAGACCTATTTTATAGCTTTTGTTGTATGGGCCCAACAAAGAAGGCTGGGGGTCAAGTAAAACCAGGGTCCACTTTTGGGGCTTTGACGCTGTAGTGACCAGTTCTGGGGCTGGCAGTTCATTTCCCGGACTTGCCAAAAGGCGCGGCCGGCTAGCAGACAGAGATCCTAGGCCGCAAGGGATGAAAAGCCATGCCAAGAGTCAAGAATTATGACCTATGGCCTGGGCGATGGCGTTGAACAGGAATCAACATGAGTCAGGGTCCGTTAGTCGGATTGGACATGTCCGGGTCAATCGAGGCGTGCCAAGGATTTGCCGATCGCTTTAGTCAGTGTCCCTGACCCTTTTTGCCCTGCCTGGCACCCCTTTCCCCTTGTTTCCCAAGATCCAAATCACTGTTAAGGGCTTAATCATTGGGGCAAACTGGGTGGTATGGAGGGGAGGATTCCGCGGGGGAGGAGATAGCTGTTGAGGAACGGCTGTTGCATCCCAAAGACTTGTCAAAGGGCCACTTGGTTCTACGAAAACAAATCGGAAGCAAGCCGCGAGATTTCTTGGGTCAAGTTCCCTGCATCATGAGTTTGCCCATTTCTTTTGAGCTTCCCTGGGGGATTTGTTGGGAGGAATGTTTTTTTAGTCATGATCGATTCCAGGTGAATCTAGTAATTTGCCAAGACTATCAGTGTCACATCCAGACAAGTAGGACATTTCCCGAAGTGGCTCAAGCAAAAATCATGTGCGTGATATGAGTCCCTATCGATGACCAGTGATCACCTGGTTTCGGCAAGTTGTTTTCTTAAAGGGAAAACAAATACACCATATCAGATAGCAAGCAGCCATGAGGCTAACCGACTTCAACACCTGAGAGGTAACACCCTATCGAATATTATATATATGTGTCTTGTGTTCTACCTGTATACACAGTACACGTATTATATGTCCACACGCCGCGTTTCACGTGCACGAAGAAACGCCAAGCCCTCACCCTGCCATGGCGAAGCCGAAGCCGAGCGGGGAGCTCTTGAAGGGCCTCCGCGCGTACATGGAGGATGAGGTTGGAGTCTGGGGGGTCCCAAAAGTCAATCCCAAAGGTCCAGCTGGGTGCCCCAACCCTCCCCCCTTTTTTGGGGGAGGGTTCCCCTACTAAAATAGTTTAGTCTACTAAAATAGACTACAGAAACAACAAGAGTACCCTTATTTTAAGCTTTGTACTGGAGGACCTAGTCAATCCAAAGGTCCGTGATAATGTCCAGTTGTGGTTCCTGGGTTTAGTAGCTGTTATCCAACACCAAGGTGCATTTCAATCCCAACCAACAAGGGACACCTAGCGTGGATGGACAGAATCCATTTCGCACCACGACATGAAACCACATAACGTTTCTTGGCATTTCCAGGGGCATCATCGTTCCGTGTCTTAGATGGTGCAGGATTGCGCCCATCCACACCCCCACGCACAAGGGTTCCACAAATACACCTGCGGGGAGCAGGGCCTGATCTGCCTCGTTTTACTGGATGCGACAGTTGGCGGGCTCAAGAGACAGAGTTTTGGTGGCTCCTAAACTCCTAAGTCTCAAAAACCACCCAGACCCGTTTGATGCTTAAGATCGCAGCTTGCCAGCATACCCAAACAGCTGCACAAAGCGTGCACGAACAAAGCACCTTGTTTGCACCCTAGGGAAACCAGAAAACCCCCCTGAGCCAGAGGTCTCCTAAGCTGAGACTTGTTGGTCCGTGTCAAGAGTGTCCGAAGGAACACACCCTCAGTCTTAAAGACAGTCCGAAAGGAGTCCTTTCACTTCGAAGTTTCTTGATGGGAGTTTAGATCTGCCAGTGGGTGGCTTTGGCGGGCAGAATCTCACAAAGCTCAGAGAGGGTTTGAAATGGCTCTTCCCCCTTGCATCCTATTTTGTCGCCTTCCCCCAGTTCGAATTTCTGAGCTGACTCGCAGTGTCAAATCATCTCCATCGATTCTAACAATATGGGTAAATGCTGGCAACCTCACTGCCGGCATGCGACCTCACTCATGAAGGTTACTGAAAATTCCATTCTTGAGGATTTACCTAAGAAATGTGAAGTCTTGAGCCCGCATCCTCCACGTGGATCATTCCAACCTCGGGCTGAGCTTGTCGCGCCGGATTTGGGCCAGATAGTCTGAGCCTGAGGACTCCTGTTATTCCCAGCCCTGTGGAAGGAATCAGTGACGCTTCCCTTCGCATTGTCCCTTTGGCAGGTGAGTATTTGGATGGGGGTCACATATTTCCAGCTATGAGTAAGGATCTGCTCATTTTTATTGGGTATTGCCGCGGGGTACAGATGTGTGCATCACCGGTAGAGTCTGAGTGTTAGAGGGGCTTCTGGTTTTGGGGGCGCAGCCAGTTCTTTAGTGGCACCCTTTTCCCCGTTGTGTTTGGTGAGTTCTTCACTAGATATAACGCTCAACCCGAAAGAGCCATGGTACCGATCTCCATGATGTTTTGCCTGTAAGCATCCAACATGTGCCGTTTTGGGCTGTTTCGGAATTATGCTAAGTTTCAAGTTTCACTAAATATCGACCAAGGTCAAGCGCATTGTTTTAGCTAGGAGGCAAAAGCTGAGGAAGTTTCATCCCACTAACAGCAGGCTCTGTAGTAGCCCACAACTCCATTTAACTTGAGCCACAATCAAAACCCGGGTAGATGAAGGTTAGTAAGGGATACTCCCAACAAAAAATGGGTGCAAGCCGCCTTTGTTAATTCTTTACATGGTTCTGGGTGCACGATTTGATTACCAGGTTTTGAATATGACTCACTTGATTTTCAGCCTTGTTCAGTACCGCCTGGAGTGGTTGTCCACAGGACTTCCTGCTGGAAATTTCATGCTGGGCCTGGGAGTACTGCAGCAAGCCACGTGGCCTGTGAGGGTTTATGATTGGTACCCTTTTTCAGCTTGGTTGGAAGGGAATCCAAGACCAGGTCCCCCAGTAGCGCCCTTTTACCCTTTTTGGGGGAGGGTTCCCCTACTAAAATAGACTACAGAAAAAAGGGTACCGTTATTCTGCGCTCTCTGCTGGAGGACCTAGAAGAGGAAAGGCACCCTTTTGTCAAATTGTGTGGGTCCCACATTTTGCACGTACCCATGCCAAAACATGCCCAGACCTTCAGTGACGTGTTTCCCTGCTCCCTCTCTCTCTCTCTCTCTCGCTCTCTCTCTCTCTCTCATGCTAATCCATCCTAATGATCCGAGCTAGACTCTGCTAATTTTGCAAAAAGTCGGGCAAAGAACTTGGCCCTCATTCACGGGCGCCGAGCTGCAAGACCGCCCACAACTGTTGCGGGCTTACTCGGTCGCTTCTGTTGTTTGGTTGTTGCCACTTGGTTGTATCACTAATTTGGGAGGGTTGTTGCCAACAAATGATGCTTGTCACTTGTTGCAAGGTGTTGCAAGGTTTCCTTGATCACACCAGCTTGTTTGCGGGTTTCATGGCTGCCTTGCTTTTAAGCTTTTAACGGACCTTCAACCTACTAGGAGCCTCCACGTTGCACCAGCTTGCCGGGAAGCAGCGGAATTGGTCCGGGAAGCGCCGAGGTTCCCCCACGAGGCGCCCAGCCAGTGGGAGCACCCGCTGGAGTTCACAGCGCTGCACGGGGAGTACCGGGAGCTCTTCGAGGGCCGAGCCAATGAGTTCTGCGAGCAGGCCCGGCGGCGAGCCGGGCAGTTGAACGCCCCAAATCTTGGTGGCTCCCGAAGGCCATGCGGTTCCTTAGATTTTTTTAGCTTTTTAGTCTTTAGTGGTAGTTTCCATTTAGCCCACTAAAAGTGTTTTTTTGGCGGGGGATCTGAGGACAGCCCAGAAATGTGTGGGTGGGTTTGTGCCTTGTTTGGAGTTGGTACCCTTTTTCAGGTGGGTTTCAAGGAATAACACCATCTGGGGGGTCGCGCATTTTGGTCACACATGGCCAATTTGGGGTGCTTCCCAAAATAGGCCCAGACCTCCAAAGACGACTTTTTGTTCGACATTTGTTGCAGGGGTTCCTTCAAAATCAAGTACCAAGCTCGTGCTTGGTTTTCTGTTGAAAGAGAACTGGACACCCCAAGAACAGTCCAACATGTTCAACATGGTAACAGTTTTGGAAGCGCGCCCTTATGTTTACATGATCTTTTGTTTGGTGGCTTTACACTACACCAAGAGGGGTCCATGTCTACTAAAGTCAATGGTTGCAACTGGGCAGATGTGTTATTGTCGAAACCTGTGGTGATAAAACAAGGGAAACCTGTGAGATGGGTGCTTCCCCAAATCCGGGAGTACACCACTAGAACCCAGCAGTAAGTTGATCCAAAATGTACGTATAGCATATATATATATATATATGGTCACCCCCCCCTGCATGACCTACCGTTGTCTTTCAAAAAGTCGTTGGGGACCATTAGCAGACAAGAAAAAAGTGAAAAAACACATGTTTTTTATGGTTTTTGATTAAGAAACAACACAGTCAACCATTGAAAAATTAAGAAAAACCAGTGTGTTTTGATGGTTTTAGCAAAACATGTGCAAAAACCCATGTTTGTTTAGAGAAAATCAGGAAAGCATTCAAAAAAACAAGTGTAAAAACTGATATGCTTTTCAGATAGATCCCTAAGTCAAAAACTAAGAATTCCCTGGGTTTTTGATGGTTTTGCAGTAAAACCTTCAGAATTCCTTGGGTTTTTAGCATTTTTCACATAAAACCAAGAACACCTCGAGAAAACCAAGAATCCAAGAATCCAAGATTTTCAGGTAGATGTTTGGTCCACTACAAAATCTTGGATTCTTGGTTTTCTCGA